GACTTTCAAGCCAGAAAGCATCCGCTGGGTGAGATCTTAAATCCATGGCAAGCTTTTCTTCTGCTTGTTGGTTTTCTTTTTCTTTCTTTTCTCTCTGTCCTCGTTGCTGATGTTGATCGATGAATTTTCGTTTTCCAGGAGGACATAGCCATTGAATCCGAGACAGGCAAGGTGTATAGAGCCAATTTCGTGGACAACTACGGGAGAGCGATTCTTATAATGCGGCCTGCGAGACAGGTACTCCTTTACTTCTTTCTGTTGGTCGAGAGTTAAGATCTGGCAGCTTTTCTCCTCACCTTGTTTTTGGCTTTTCTCTCGATGGCACAGAACACCAAGGATCAAAATGGTCAGATACGGCAGCTGGTGTACTGTCTGGAGAATGCTGTTCTGAACTTGCCACCCGACCAGGAACAAATGGTGTGGCTCATTGACTTCCACGGTTGGAGCGTCTCTAACTCCGTTCCCCTCAGTGCCGCTCGCGAGACCGCTAATGTTTTGCAGAACCACTATCCCGAGAGGCTGGGCGTGGCGATTCTTTACAATCCCCCCCGGATCTTCGAGGCATTCTGGGCTGTAAGTGTCGAGTTCCCTTCTTCTTTTCCGTTTGCATGGTCAATAACTCGTGGCTGTTGCTTTGCGTTGCAGCTAGTCAAGCCATTCTTGGATCCCAAGACTTACAAGAAAGTCAAGTTCGTCTACAGCAAGGATCCCGACAGCGTCAAGCTGCTCGAGGACGTGTTTGACATGGAGAAGCTGGACACGTCCTTTGGAGGGCGCGGTAACTGCGAGTACAACCACGAAGACTACGGCAGGATGATGAAGCAAGACGACGTCAAGATGCAAGAGCACTGGCGCTAATCCGGAGCCGAGCTACTAACACCGGTAAAAATCGAAAGAGACCAACTTTCCGAAAGAAAAACTATTTTTCTACTATACACAGGAAGCTACAAGAGATCAGATCGGAGGAGATCCGAGAGAAGCATGAGAGAATCGATGTGGTGCTCGCTCTCTCGGAGCCTCTCTTCCGCCAAAAAGCAATGAATGCGAGCGGTTTGAGCGTCTCTCTCTCCCGCTCCGCATCCTTTCTTCTTTAGCTCGATCGATGGACCGGATTGATTGGTCGCTGGGATTCCCTGCCAGGCGAGAGAGATCACGATTTGGAGCGAAACTTGGTGGCAACTTTGATGATCCAACCCCGAGACGTGGATGGATGGCGTTGACCTCACTCTCGCGTGATGTAAATGGTTGGGACATTCAACCAACATGTGGACTCATTTAAGTTCCACCACTGGACTGTGTGTGGTGCTGAGTTGTTGGTGGATGGGACTTTATAATCACCGCGCCACCTTTTTGCGTGGTACTTGACCTAATAATAGAGGGAATGTCCATGTTAGAAGTTAGAACAAAGAGTTTTCCACCTTTTTTTTTCTCTCTTTTTCCCAATCAATGCTGCCACCACCAAGAACAAGGGGGAAGAAAAAGAGTTTTTGGCCATTGTGGCATGGCTATGGTTCTCGTTACGTCGTCTTCCTTTTAAAAGCTTTTGGAGCTGGAAATGGGCTGGCGGGTGGATGTTCAAGTAGTTATTGTGGCCGCATGATCCATCCATCGCCGAGAAAGAGAGAGAGCTTTCCATCGTTTTAAGTTTCTAAGCAATCCTGGATAATGCAAAGAGGAGGCCAGCCAGGAGGAAGAACAGTGTATCAGCGCGGCAGTAGCGAGCGAGCAAACTATAGTGTGGGAAAGAGAACGCTCTTCTCCGCTTGGAGGAATTAATTTCTTCCCTGGCACCGACCAGGTGGATTTCAATGCGGCCAGGGCCGTATCGTCTTAGAAAGAAAGAGCGCTTAGCCGGGAAAGATGGATCGCTGGCTGGTAAAAAGAGGGAGTGAAAAGCTGTCGATCGATCGAGACGACAAAGATTCGAAACGGCGTCCTCCTCGTTCCTCCATAGCCGCGAGCGAGCGAGGTTTTCTTTCTAAGTCCTAGTATTTAAACTGGTTTTAGTTGAGGCATCTCGCTCGCTCGGTCCTGCGGCGTTTGCGTTTGTTCCTCCTCCTCTCCTCTCGCGCAAACTTGCCTCTCTTCGTTTTTTTCTCTTTTTTTCCTCGTTCCTCTTGGCGCTGGCAATGCTGGTGCTGCTGGTGCTGGAATCCTCGTGGAATCGCTTGCGCCCACAAGTTCTTCCACTCCCCGGCTGTTCTAGCTAGTTTCTCTCGAGTAGTTTGTAAGAAATATTCGTCTCAGGTACGTACGTCATTCCTTTTTCTAAGTTGGAAGAAGATCGAGCATGATTTGAAAGCTTGTGAATCTTGCAAGCTTTGAACTTCAGATCGATAGATTCACTTTCACTAAAGAGAAGAAGAGAGAAGATGGGATCCGGAGGAACTTTCAGTGATGACCCAGCAGCAGCAGTGCCAGCAAAGAGAAGAACAGCATCACCATCGCCACCACCACCTCTCCACAGATCCATCTCTCTCTTCCTCTCCCGCTATGTCTTCACACTCCACGCGGCGGCGCAAGCCACGCTTCTCCTCCTCGTCTCCGCCATCGCCTCAGGCCACCTGGATCTCTCCACCATCGCCCACCACCGCGACGCAATCGCCCACGACCTCCTCTCCATCCAGGCCGCGGTCAAGAGCTCCAAGCTCCTGGGAATCACCTCCGTCGCCACCATTTTCTCGCTGGGATGGATCGCGGCGCTGTGGCTCCTGCTGACGCGCAAGAAGAAGAGAACCGGCGTCTACATCGTCGACTTCGCGTGCTACAAGCCCGACGACAAGCTCAAGTGCTCGGCGGAGCTCTCGGAATGGTTCGCCAAGCGGCTGGGCGTCTACACCGAGAAAACCATGGAATTCTTCAAGAAGGTCTATCTCAAATCCGGAGTGGGCGACGAGTCTTACGCGCCGCCCGCGATGTTCCACCACCCCAACGCGGATCTTAGCTGGAAGCAAGCCCGCGCCGAGGCGGAGCTCGTCATCTTCGGCGCGGTGGACGAGCTCCTGGCCAAAACCGGGATCAAATCCAAGGACATTGGCATCCTGGTCGTCAACAGCAGCTGCTTCAATCCCACTCCCAGCCTCTCCTCGATGATCGTCAATCACTACAAGATGGGGACCGACATCCGGAGCTTCAACCTGGGCGGGATGGGCTGCAGTGCCGGCATCATCGCGATCGACCTCGCCAAGGATCTCCTGGGGATGCATCCAAACACGTACGCGCTGGTGGTGAGCACCGAGAACATCACCCACAACCTCTACCTGGGCAACAATCGCCCCATGCTCGTCACGAACTGTCTCTTCCGCGTCGGCGGCGCCGCCATCCTCCTGAGCAACCACCCCTGCCACTCCCCCGGCGGCGCCGCCGCTGGCAAGTACGAGCTCCTCCACACCGTACGCATCCACAACGGCGGCGACGACAAGGCGTACGGATGCATCACCCAGGAGGCCGACAGCGATGGCGTTCTTGGGATCACGCTCACCAAGCACATCATGGTCGCCGCCGCCGACGCGCTCAAGAAGAATCTCACCAAGCTCGGCCCGCTCGTTCTTCCAATCGGCGAGCAGCTCCACTTCGCGGCCAACGTGATCGCGCGCAGCGTCTTCAAGCTCGATCGCAAGCCATACATCCCGGACTTCAAGCTCGCCTTCGATCACTTCCTGCTCCACGCCGGCGGCCGCGCGGTGGTGGACGAGCTCGAGAAGAGCTTGCGGCTGGGTGAGGAGAAGATGGAGGCGTGCCGGATGACGCTCCATCGATTCGGGAACACCTCGAGCAGCTGCGTGTGGTACGAGCTCGCGTATCTCGAGGCCAAGGGGAGGGTGAGGTATGGCGATCGCCTGTGGCAGCTCGGGGTTGGATCGGGATTCAAGTGTAACAGCGCCGTGTGGCGAGCGATCCGCGATATCGATCGACCCAAGTCGATGAATCCCTGGCTGGATTGCATCGATGAGTATCCACTGGAAGTTCCAACTGACATGGAAGATATCCCGCGCCGGGAGAAGCTCTACTTCCAGACAGTGGATGGATTGATCGTGGATACCAGTACGGGTCAAGCGTATGCCAAGGATGGATCGCTCGTGACGAGCGATTATAGAGCTCCAGCCCCGGATCATCCATCCTCCGCGGCCGGAGAGAATCATCGTGATCATCCAGCCAGGGAGAATAGGGTGATCTTGTCCAACGGAACCAATGGCGTCCACCACCACTAGGCACGGATCGTGGATCCAAGAACACGATGCATGGGATGTTCGTTTCGACGACGGTATATCAAACGGGTTGCATTGATTCGTTCCAACTTCCAGCGAGAGTTCTTCCAAGTTCTTCCAGGGCCATGGTTTTAGGATTTGAGAAAATTTGATTGGTTTGTGGGTTTGAGATTCATAGAGTGTCATTCATGCCGGCTATGGTGGACATCTCTCTTTTTCTGATATTTCACTTCTCTTGGGGAGGGATTTTATTAGAGCGAGCCAGATGTCCTCCATAGCCAGCGATTGCTTCACAGCTCCTCCTTAATAATCACCAAGAAAGAAGGAGAATTCAATGCCCGCCATCTTTTCCATATCAATGCCGAATCAACGTATACCCAAACCCGTTTTTTGGTTCATTCTAAAACGAGGACCAGCGCTGACTGGCAGTGCGACACATATCCATTATTGACTTCGAATCGTGGACTGAGAAGATTGTCAGGGTTGGTCAACTACTAGCTTTGTTCTCTTACTCGTTTCAGTCCATCCAGTCAAAGATTTCAAATCTGGTCAACTTGGGTTATGGGAAACTCTATATTATTAACCCAACCAGAGAAAAATCTAACGAGATTCCGTTGTAGTCTAGTCGGTCAGGATACTCGGCTCTCACCCGAGAGACCCGGGTTCAATTCCCGGCAACGGAACTAGGAACTACCTTTTATATTTACTTGTGATTTGCGAGATCTTGCAAGAGCTTGATTTTTTTGCAGGACTTTCTTCTAGCGTTTTAAAGTGTTCTATCATTCTTCGTCCTTTCGTCTTCAATGTCATATCTTTGACAAACTATTGATTCCGGATATGGTAGTTTCACAAAGGATTAACCTTGAGGAACTTTAGGAACAAGAACAGAACCTCAACATTCACATGATAGAGCAACCATTTGGATTGTCATCACTGAAGAAGAAGGAATCCCCGACTGGAAATGTCGTAGCACTTTCGCGCTGTTCTTGCTGGCCAGAAGATTTCACCTTGTTCCCGCCGCCGCCCACCGCCTTGTGATCCGACCCTCTGGCGGCGCCGCTACTGTCTTTGGCACCGGCCAGCTCGACGTTCTTGCCAGTCTTTTTGGCGATTTGCTTGACGACTTTGCTCGAGTCGAAGCTGCCAGTGACCGTCACCTTCTTTTGTGTGAGATCCACAGTGATGGATTCCACTCCTGGTGCATTGGAGAGTTTGATCAATGGGTGGGCGATCCACACAAAGGAAGACAAAAATGGAAGCTTTGCTTGGTTACCTTCCACTTGACCGATCGCCTTTTTCACCTTGCGAGCACAGCAGTTACAGTTGATCTGGACCTTGAGCACGACACTCTGGAGAATCGATTGCTCAGTGCTTTGAGATCTAGAAAACGATTGATTTCCACAACTCTACCTCAGATTTCTTCATCTTGCTGCTGGCGTAGATATCTTCAGCGGTGGAATCCAAGATCCTAGCGGCAACTGACATTCTTCCTTGTTTCTCTCTTTTCTATCTTCTTCTTTGCTCGGTCCGTCCGTTGCTTGCTTCGTTCGATCGAGTGAATGTGTCAGTAAATTTAAGCCGTTTTTCCCAACGCCGAGGCACCGGGAGCCTCGTATACGTGTGGTGTGACTGATTGAGATTTGTGAATCTCCACGTACGGAAGTTAAATCTTGTCACGAAACTTTTCCTCGAGAGGCTAGTTTGTGCGCCATTACTCTAGGAAGTACCATATATATTGTTATGCTTAGCAACCAATTGTTTGGTTTGCAGCGAAATCATTCATTCATTCCTCTGGTGTATCCATTTGTGCTTGTTTCTTAAATAATGTTAAACACTTTTCCTAACATTACATAATTTCTATTATTATTATTTTATATAAAAAATAATTTGTATATACCTAAAATATGCTTGAATATTTTGGGATATTTTACCATCTAACGGTTGTTATTTATATAGATTAATTTCGTATTAATATTTATAAACATGTTTATAATGTATAAGTTTTCCTAAACACTTCCTAGTATATTCTAGTTTATTCTGCCATTTAATGGTTGATATGCAATAAAATTAATCTTATGTTTATAAATTATAAACATCCATGATCAATTGGATTAATAAATAGGAATAACATTACTATTAAGCAAACCAAGAATTACTGTATGAAATGTGCAGCAAATTATTTTATAAATTTATTATTTGTTAAAATTTTGTTAATTAAATTTGCTCTTTTAAAAAATTTAAATATCTACAAATTGTACAAAAAGTAATAAGCTCTTGACAAATATAATTATATATTTAAATTTGTCAGAATAAATGGCATTAAAATAAAATGTCTGAAAACTTTATTACAATGGTATTTTCATCCAAATCATATTAACGAATATTTATTGCTATTAGTTCTTTGACACAGTAATTATAATTAGTTTTAAAAATATAGCTAATACTTTTTTTCTCTTAAAGAATTGGTAATTGCAAAATATGTACTATTATGCATAAATAAATATCAGAAAGTTTATTTGAATGAATAATAATCAAAGCATGTACTCAAGTATATTCTAATTAAATCATCATACTAAAAATAAAAACAATGTATATATAATGTTTTTAAAAGAAAGGAGTTTATTATTTTTTGGTTTTCAACAAGGTGTTGACTAACTAAAATTGTGTTAGCATGTTTTAAGCTAAAGTGTCATCCATTTGTTTGAAGGGCAATGGCACCGCTCTCACTGCCCTGTATCTGCCAACATTGTTGAGGTGTTCGTTCTCCAATCTGAATATTTGAAAATAGAAATATTAACAATGTCAGAAATGACACACATCCAAAAAATTTAGAAAGCTACAGCATAAAAATTCTCACCTGTAGAAATTCCAATGCCCTCGTCGGATCACCTCAAGCGCTGCAAAAAACAAGTCTATTATCATGAGCTCAATCTCTGTCCCAGGAGGATGAGTCACGGAGTAAATCCATGCCAGCCTCAGTATCACGTTCAAAGCCTGCATTTCCTGGACTTATAAGGTCAAACTTAAAACAGAAAGATGTTACCATGGAAAGGAAGTACGTGATCTTGCGCTTGAGAATCAGTTGGTCTCTCAGCCATGGATTGAAAGACTTTGGCTGGAGAAGCCCCCAATCCACCACAATATCCCAGTATAACTGGTACACTGTCGCAAAGATGGATGAAATCACGAAGATGCCCAGCCAGAACTCCGACTTGATTCGAGAGTACGTGAGCCGGACCACAACAGCAATTAGCGCCGAGAGATACTTTCCACCATTTGCAATGTGTGCAGTGTCGTGCTCGTCCATCCATCTCCTCCAGCACTGCCAAAGTTTGCAACATTATCACATGAGATACAATAAGAAAAGGATATGGTGGTACTTCTATAAGGTATTCGCTATGATTGATTACCTGCATTAGTCGCCACCAGTATGGAAGCACCGAGATAAGGTACTGGAAGGACTTAAACAATGTGCTCTTTGTACAAGCTCCGGTGTTTCTTGTTCTAAAAAAGCCACCTCCGTAGTAGCAGGAGATATACCCAAGGTTTCGCAAAGCAGGCACCTGATGCGATTTACGTTTGTAAGTCTAGGAATACTAGTTTCTAAACACAGACCTGGCTAGTGAGTTGATCAGCAAGGAAAAAGTCCGCAAAGACGACCTGTAAAAAACGCGAACAGTGGCTAAGGAGATATCTTAGAACACGTCTTACCTTAAACAAGGGAGAAGAGATAATTCGCCAAGTACACCTGAGGAACGCTGCTCGTGACGATTTGTAGCAAATATCCAAGGGGCAAATTAAGAGAAGGATGAGGAGCTGTCCATGGAAAGAACCAAGTTACATAAATATTGACGAACAATTCAAGCTAATGGAGAGTATTGGCACCAGGAAGACAACGAGCGCGATGATTTCGCTATCAACGTGAGTAACTGTGTAAGTTGCGAGATGAAAGATCATTCCGATTATGATAAGAGTTGTCAAGCCCGTGCTGAGGAGAAGCACGTCTTGGTGTCTGAGCTCCTGCTTGGGTGAAAACTCGAAAATGAAGGTGTAGTTGATGCGAACCTGCTTCCAGACGTAAATGTTCCATCCATACATGTACAAGTGTAGCACGAACAAGAAAAGTGTGCTGTAAGAAACAAAAGAACTCGGAAACATACAAAACTTTCATAAAAGTATGGCACTGTTTACCTGAACACGGGGAAGACTGCTTGTATGTACTTCGTTGTGATCCCGTCCTTGTTTCCAAGCACAAGGATTAACACAAACGCTGCTAGGAGACTCCAGGAGCAACCACTGAAGAGGCCTATAGATTTTAATAGAAGAAGGTTAATTAATAACGACGATCCGAATGAATGAAATGGATATCCTGCTCTTACCCAGGATAAAGTTTATATTTCCATGATTGCTCGCAGAGTGTATGGGCCTGAGATATGCCATGGCTTGCTTTCGGTTGCCTTTCGTAAAGTGCAGAGTGAACACTCTCTCTACACGGTCCATAAACTTTACTACCTGGAGTGCATTGGAGCAATGAAATCCCATCAGCAAGACCCCCAAAGGAAAATTTCTTCACACCTTGTCCGACGTTGCAAAATGAGAGTTTTCGACCATCTTCAGATAACTGCCAGACGCATTCTGTCCAGTCACCTGAGAATTTAAAAAACCTTTTAGAAGTCTGCAGTAATTTGCCATTTTCCATAAGTACCTTGTCAAATTTCTTGAGGATCTTGACGAATGCCATCATGTTCAAGGAGCTGCCAAGTAAGTTTTCAACACTTTGAGAACATGGATCAATCGTATAGAGGTCATTCACCTGAAGTTTCTTAGGAGTCGAAGCCCACGATAAAATTCGACAAAGGCCGTCTGGAGCATCTTGGCTGCTCGCTGAACCTTTCCTTTGTTACCGGGGCTCCCCTTCAAGCTCTGAGATTCGTCATCTACAACATGGCAGAGATCAAACGATTCCAAGTTAAGTGCTACAGAATTAGAGGCTGCTATAACGAACCTTGCATAGCAATGAGCTCTTCCATTTGGATGTGAAGTTGCTGTGCTTGAGCATCGTACTCGTCTTCCTTGCATCTAAAAAACTTGTCCACTTTGTTGAGTTGATCGTCAAGGCCGAAAAAGAAGCTCTTTTCGTGATCCGATCGAGTTCCGAACAGCTCCGTCTCGTAAAAATCCTCGCCATCTCCAGTTCTCGTCTTGTGCACAACCTGATCATATTGAAGTGTTTTGTTTTGTCTTTACAGTCCAGAACATCATCACAAACCATGGACGTTTCCGAGGATATGGATTGTTCGCAGCAGCTGCTCAGAATGGCGCTGGGATTTTGCAGCAAGTTTTGAAGCTTGCTCTTGTCAACCGAGAAGACATTTGGATCGAACACCTTGTGCTGCTGGTTCTTGGTATGTAGGATCTGGTTTTTGATTCTCTTGACAACTTTCTTGAGCTGCTTGTAGTCGCAGTACTTCACCCGCCACTCTGGGACGAGCTGGCTCTCCAGCTGCTTCTGGAACTTCACCATGCCTGAAAGCTTGGATTACCTGAGGCGAACATCGTCAAGAAAACGATCAAGCAAGAGATGAAATACCTGGAGGAAATGGTGTCAAGTTCAGAATGCCTCTTCAAACTTTTCTGGCGCCTGTGCTCTGGAAGCAGAGGAAGAACAGCGGCAGTGAGCATATGACGAGACAAATGGTGGCGTGGAATCATCAAATGCATGGTGCTGGGGAGGAGGAGCACCGATTCTCACAAGAAAACAGCGTCTTAAGATCATCTCTGGAGAAAAGGGGGAAAGCCTTCGTTTCTCGCCGAGGCCAACGAACAATTACTTAAGAATACGTTTTCCCGAGTGAAACTGACGAAGCAGAGTGCAAGAGGAGAGAAGAAGCAAGCGATCCATTGGCCTATGGAACAAAAAAAGGAAGCAAAAGGACAGGGAATGCAGGGGAATCTACATGAAAAGAAGCTGTCATAAGTTACACACTTACACACACACAGCTCTCTCTCTCACACACACTTCAACTCTTTTCTTGTCAACACGAGTAATTTATGCGAGCGAAAGGGAATGAAAGAATCATTTGAGCATCTAAAGCATGGAAGGAAGCGAGGCACGTACTCTTTCTGGAAATCACGCTTATGGAACGTTTTTGTTTCGTCGGAGTGGCGCAACCAAACTGAAAGAATCACAAGCTCAGAACCACGAAAACAGAGGCAAAACAAAACAAGCTTACTCTTGAAAGGGGACGAAGAGAAGAATAACCAAAGGAGCCAAGCTTGGATTCGAGAGAGTTTGTCGAGTTCTCGAGGTGAGAGCCCTTTGCTCACTCAAAAACTCGGAGCCTTCTCTCCTTTGCGAGAGGAAGAGGGAGCGGGGGGAGTTTGCAATGAAGGTGGTGGTCGCATTTTATACTCTGGTTGGCCGACTAGAGACACTCAAGACATGGAAGAATAGTGGTGTGATAATTGCCCGACTATCATCAAAGGGGGTATAAGGGTGAGAACTTTGCTTTGAATCACTGGATATGCAGCTCGGGATATGCTGAGAGAAGTCCCCCATACCACGGAGAAAGAAAGAGAACGAAAATAAATGCATTTTAGCTTATCTTCCATTCGCAATGCTCCACCTTGTTAGTGGCCCGATTATACTTTTCCTTTTCCTTGCCAGATTCTGCACGATTCTTCGCTAAGAAAGCCAAAACTTCTGGCTGTAAAGCATTGCACGTACCAGCCTGTGTGTTTTTAACATTGATCCGCATCGTTTTGTTGACGACGTGGACCCCAACCCGCCGGGTTTTTTCTCCTTCCATTTGCTGTTCATCGAAAGCTTGCTGAGAGACGCGATTTAAATCCAGAATACAAACCTCTCCGTTGCTACTGATGAGTTTGATCCCTGTCGTTCCGACCTGAGTGTGCCTGATTCTCGCTTTTGATCCTGATGTCACCCTGTTCTACAGCAACCACCATGAATGGATGAGTATAAATGTGTAAACATACCCTCGTCTTGTCGCAAGTGACACTACCGTTTGGAGTGGATTATTAAAGACTTGTCGATCATAGATGGAATGTACACGCGTGTGCGTTTGGATCCACATTCCATTCCATTAAGTGTAGAACTGGCTCCTTTTCAATGCGTTGTAAGTCGACCTCGACCATCGATCGTCGCAGTAGGGGCTCCACACTGGCCTGAGTGGGCATCTGTCTCGTTTTTCTTCACCATATATCAATCTCAGTAAACCTGGAATATATTTGTATGCCACTGCACACACAGCAGCATCCACAAAATTAGATTCCAGAGCTGATAACTTTTACATGGTCACCTGGCCGATGACTCGTGCTTATTTTTCGCCTATCGTTGGCTGTGCCTCCTACATTAGGACCAAAGGTCTTCCCGCATAACCATCAAGCCACGTTTCGTAATACACTCGCATAAGGCATGTCATCCTGTAAGAGAAGCAAAGCTGAATAACTCCACCAAAACAAAGCGATAAGAACGCCACCTTATATTGAAACACGGCAGTTGTCAAGCGATAATTCAGCTCTTCGTCTGGAATGCAAAAGAATAATGCATATGACTCAGAAAGAACTTAACGTACCAGTTCGCTAGCACTTATCAAACTTGACAACCCAAGTAACGTCCCCAACCTTCGTCGCACGAATTCGATCAACCTACATACAGAAGTTCTTTCCCCTGTGAATACCGTGGAGGGGACGTAGAATCTCAACGCTCCTACGTCTTCTAGTCCGCACGGAGTGACCAGCGTTGAGTCAGGGGCCTGCCAGCCATTTCATTGCTGAAGCATCCAAAACTACTAAACACGAGGAACTTACCATTGGCCTTTTCAAGTGTTCAAACACCTCATGGGAGCTTTCAACCTCGCCTCATAACCATCTCACACAGTAGCACCACTTCACGTCAGATCAACCATCCAGCAGTGAGCTGGCTCCAGTAAGTCGGCATCCCTGTGCGAAACACAAGGATCAAACTTGAACTCTCGGATAGCTTGTAAGATTCCTGAAGCCCATCTTTCAGTGGCACGAAAGATCAGCGCCTCTGCCAAAGATCTCGAAAGCTGCTCAAGGGAGAACCTCCCTTTCCTGTCCTCCACTGTATATGATTTTACCATCCAACTGGAAGAAAAAAAAGAAAAAGGATTAGATCACAAAAGCTTTGAACGATCCTCTAAAAACTTGCCCCACTCATTCAATCTCTTCAACAGTGTCTCCACAACCCGAGGAGCCTCTGCCTTCTTCAGCTTGAAGCTGACTTTGTGAGGTCGCTGTTCTGTTAGTTCCTACAGGAAAAAAAATAAAAAAAGCCAGGACGAGATAGAGAAAAACGTTGTAAACACAAACAAAGAGAGGATATGGAATCTTTCTACCTGGAACGTAAGCTCTGGAAACTTGGAAGTCTCAAAGAAATATGCAAAGATACCTTATCAACTTATACTAAGAAATGTAGCATAATTATAATAAAAATAACATTCTGCCATAGCTATAACTATATAGAGGACGTTTGATTTATCATTGCCTTGTCAAATAGCCTCAAAAATCAATATAATCAATGATTTATTTTAAATGCCCTAATAGTCTCTGTTAGATAAAATTAAAAATATAGATATACTTCAATGTAAAATACCTTTGTAAATTCATACTGTTTTATTATCTAAGGTTATAAGATGGATATTAAAATATTTGTCTTCTGATCACCTTTTTTTCCCAATTTTAGTTTTCATATTGAAATGTTGTTAATATGAAATCATTTGATTAGATTTTCCTTCACTTAGATTATTAAGCATTCAACACTGAAATAAACTTGGAATATTAGAATAAATATGAAGAATATTTTAGAGCAATAATATAAACTTACCTCATCAACTTCTGCTACAAAATAGAACCCAATCATATTAAAGACATATAGTAATAACTATATAAAGCATATTTATTTACCTTCTTTTTGCAAAACCACCTCATAAAAATATAGATTAATGATCTGCTTTAGAATAGTATTTGTTAGATAAAACAAAAAACTTAAATACTAAATACCTTTACAAACCCATATTTTTCTTCCCTCTAGGATTATGGGATGAAGAGCAAAATGTTTTTCCATGATCGTCTCCTGCTTTTCTTCTTTCTCAAATTTAGTTGTCACTAGCTTAAATATTTCTTGCACATCTTCTGCTTTGGGATTTGTAGTTAGCTTGCTTTTGAGAAGACATGCATCCAAAAAGCTTATAAAGCTTCCCTTGGTCTCATCCACCATTGCATTCACTATTTCTCCAACACCAGCAAAATGTCCTCCAACTTTAGCCCCAATAAATAATAGGATCAATGTATATTTAAGTACTGGAGCAAATTTCTTGAGCCAATTTGGTGGGAGATCCAATTCAACACCTTTAGAACTCTTCACTTGATGACCTTTAGTTCCCTGAGTATAAGTTCCTCCAGGCCATTCACACAAGTAATGAAGTTTAACATGTGTTCCCAGTATTTTACTGTAATTTTTCCACCTGTTATTCTCATCAAGAATATATGGATATTTTGGGCAATCTGTCTCCAATTTCAATAATACCTGCAAACATGTTGTATGGATTGTATTCACTTTTTCCATGGTAAACTTGAGTTCATTCTTGAGCTTGTTAATGCTTACTTCAATGTCATCAAGTTTCATATCCACCTTATCAAAACGGTTCTCCATTTTATCAAACTTCTTATCAAAATATCTGAAGAATGCATTGAGATTTGGGTCTTCAATGTTTGGAAACTCAACAACATTTGATGGTGCTTTGGGAATTGTGACTTCTCCAACCTCCTCATATTCCTTCAAGAGTTCACGAAGTTCAACAAGCTTATTCACCACTTCATATTTTTGCTCATTGGGCATCAATAGCTTAACCAAAGCATTCTCATCTGAGACCTTCAAATCATTATTCACATCCCAGCTCTCTACTTCATGTGAATAATTCCAAGTGTGGGAGTATTCTAGACCTCTTTCTTTTGCTTCACATTTGACTTCTTTTAGTGGACAAATAACTGAAGCCCATAATTCTAGTTTGTCCCCCTTATTTAGTATCCTTCTCCATACATAACCACGTCTCATCACATTTTCTTCAATTTCCAAAGATGGGCAATCCTCCATACATACCCCAATAATGCAATTTCTAATTTTTTCCATCCATCCTTCAGCTTCTTTTTCCAAATCTGGCCTTGGTGCATTCTCTACCTCTTTTGGGTAATAGACGATGACATCAACCCATTGCCTATCTTTCCAATTGTCTGTGTCTCCCCCAACTCTCACAATTGTCTCGATAAGGTTCTCTTTCAAAGCCACCCATCCATTCCCAGGCCTAAAACCTTTCTTGCTTAATTTGTGAAGTTTAACTTGGATCTTTGTGAAAATACTTGCAGGAAACAATTTCAAGTCCTTGTCTTTGCATTCAAACCTCCTGCCCCAGTAGTTGTGGTTTTTTTGAGTGTCAATTGACAATAAATATCCTGGAGGTGAATAGTCTTCTTGCAATAGTGTTGGCATTATCAACTCTTTGGGCAAGTTATGCCAATTCCCATCCCATGTATCATCCCAAGGCAATATCACTCCCATCTCATGGAGCACTCCAAGAATGTACTCCACTATTTTGTCTTGGTTCCCACATTGTTGCTTCAACTGAAGTTTAACTTTATGTGTTTCCATTTGACTTTTGAGTTTGCTTGTCTCAGGATGTATGAAGAGTTGCACCACATCCTTGATAAACCATTGGACATCTAAGATGACAAATTGAGACACAATGTCGTCCTCTTCATGTCCCAAGCCAAAGTAAATTGCATCACCAGAATCATGTAGAAATTGCAAGACGAATTTGAGAACATTCTTGGAACTCCTGTGAGGCAAGAGGATTTTGCCAACTTTATCTAGGGGTATGACCTTCTTGTGACTTGGATCTTGTACCAATTTCCTCTTTGCTTTGAGACATTCCCGTGGTATTTGTTGGGCTGACAGCAGTTCTTTCAAGCAACTCCCCAACATGGTTTTTATCCCCCTTAAATCTTTCACTTGAGTGGCCACCACCTCAAAATAAAGATCTATCCCAATCTCAAGTACTTGCCCATAGCCTTTGTCGGAGATTATTGCAGAAACCACGTCCTTTGGGGCAAAGTCGGGTTCTGGAGTGAAAAAGTTCGAGGCAATCAAGACCCTGGGCTTCCTTTTGGATGAGGCTGACTGATGTGAAGCAATGAACCTCAGCCAATAAACCAAATTCTGCTTGAAAACCTCACAATTGCCATCCTCCACCTTGCATACGATCAAGAAGAGATCCTTCTCACTTCCTCTGAGAAAGTACTGGTGGAAAGCATGGAACTCTTCCTGTCCAGCCAGGTCGCAAATGAGCAGCTTTTGTTTGGTGGTCGCATAGACAAGTGGTTGCAGCTCAATGCCTGCTGTTGAAGCATGCCTTTGGAGACATGATGGAAACCAAGACACTCTGCGGCAGAGGTTTTTTTTTATTGTGGTCTTTCCAACCCTGCTAGCACCACACAAGAAGAGCTTTGCTGTTGACGGGTTGTCAAAGTCTTTGAATGCACTCTGCTGGAAGATTGCATTCCGCTCTAAAAGACCAGAACACCTCTGCTTGAATGCTTCAGAACCACGGCCTATCTCAAGCAATTCCACGATCAGGCTTTGGTAGTTTTCCTCCAGGGCAGCCAGAATTTGTCTTTTCTGTGCATCGCTATCAAGAAAAGGAGCCCTGAATCTGCGCACCTTGCATTTTGGATCCCCCAGCAACTGGCAAAGATCCTCCAGTTTTTCAATTTCTCCCTGACGTATTTTTAAGTCTTCAATGCTGCTTCCCAAAAGGCACCTCCATGGCAGTTCCGAGTCACATGACAAAGCTTTCAGATACTTGCAGCTGCTGATAGCTTTCCAAAAGAGCTCCCCATTCGTGATTTTGCAATACCATATACCCAAATGCTCCAGTTGGCTCTTCTCTATGCCCTCGGCAAACTCCAACGTTAACTCATCTTCTCCCTTGCTAGCCCATATTTTCAAATGGCGCAGCTTACAATGTGGACTTGAGAGAGCTGACCACAGACTGCTGTCACCGACCATTCCTCCTCCCTCGTTGGGCGGAAAAAGTACAAGATTGATCAGCTTGCAATTGGAATTTTGTAGCGCTTTGCCCAACCATCCACCACCATCACCTGGATAAAGAGTAACGCGGAGTTCCTCCAAGCCACACTTAGCGCTGCACAGGGCCTCACCCAGGCCCGTTGCATTGCTCAGGTCCTCACTCTGTCTCATTTCTCGGCAATGTAAAACTGACAGGCTGGTGCCCTCCTGAAGAGCCTTGCATACCCATGGCAACACTCCAGGATCACTTTTCCGATCCAGGTATAGTCTTTGCAGTGAACAGTTTGGACTCGTGAGTGCCTTGAAGAGTGCTTCACCTGCCTCCTCTGGAAACAGTGCCACCAGTACCACTAGCTTATTGCTAATGCCATGCTGAAATGCCTGTTCCCACCCTTCCTTGCCAATGTCCGTATCAACGATGGATAACTCTTCCACCTTGCACTCCTGACTTGCCAGATCCCTACTCAATTTCCCAAATCCTTCCACTGTCATCCTGTTCCCCTTCAATTCGAGATGTTTCAAGTTGTTTCCTGCTTTCCTAAGGAGTTGGCTAAGTAGAGCCTCTGGGTTCCGAACATTGCGCAAGCAGAGCTCTGTCAAGCAGTCGAGCTGAGCAAAGACCAACTCAAGCTCCTGAGTTGGTGTGAGGATGTCTTCGCCTATCCACCAGATTTGTAGCCCTTTTAAGACTTTGAATTCCTCTGTCATCATCAGCTTTGCAAACCTCTGCACCTCAATCTGGCGAATATCCTGTCCCTGCTGAGGAGGAGCAATGCCCTCTGCCACCCTTTGCATTCGATCACTGGGAATGCCCAACCTACAAGCGACCCTGGCAGCGAAGTGGATGAATCTGATGTCGAGCTGTGGTACCAAAGCGGCCTTGAGAATGTCAATGTGAGCAGCAGCAGCAGCAGACGAACTGCCATCACCAGGAGCATCTCCCACATCCAGAGCCCCGTCTAACCAGTGTGGGTTTGAAATGTACCAGTTGAGCACACCAATCAGATCCTCCTCTGTGCCTCCAAACCACTGGACGGTAGCACTCACCTCATCAACAAACTCACCTTTGGATGTGTCAAGCGCCTCCAGCCTCCAGATCTTCCCACAATAAAACCGAATCGCATTGAAGTGCCGCTTGTTGTCCCGCTTCGCTGCGAGAGCCTCCTTGATCTCCTTGACAGAATGACAGGGGATCCACTCTCGTCGCTCCTCCTCCATGGAAGTTTGCCCTGGATCGAAGGGGCAGTGGAGAGCACGAGTAAAAAGTGAACTTTGCCAGCAGTGCATATGCCAGCTGTAGTGTAAGAGTTAATTTAGGAATTAAACGGAAAGGACAAGACCATAAACAAACATAAAATGATTCCATTTGGTGGATTTTATGACACGCTGAGGGAAGAAAGGTCAGCTGTTTCAGCAGTGTAAATGTTTAATATTGAATTTTTGACACAGGTACTTCAATGATCTTTAAGTGTGGATTTAGACAATTGTAAGGTTTGTTTCTGTCCCTCATCGTTCTTCCTTGTTTTTTAACAACGAAACTGATTTCCTTTTGCAGTGGCAAAGCTTCCTGGCCTTCAGCTAGAACTGGTTTTCAGCTTGCTGTTTATTTAGATGAGATATTTGTGCGTGTTGTCCACAAGAGACGAGCCATCTTGTTTGGCGGTGTAGTTGATACTGATGATAAAGGTTTGAATGCATGTGTTGGTCATCAGAAAAACTAATGATTTTTGCCTGCACAGCGTTTTTATGAACGAGATGTATGCGTTCCAGGTGGACAATCGCAGATGGTTTGTATCTCATCGATTTTTATGAGATAAAAATTATCTAAACACCATCGCTCGCAGGTATCCTTTGGAGCTTC